AACATATGGGGCCCCACTTGTGATACAACAAAGAATACATACTGATCCAGACAGACACCTTGTCTTAAAGTGACATTAAACTCAGGAGTTAAATCTTAAAAATACATTCAAGCACCCTAACTATTAACAGAAATGTCTCTTATTTGTGTATCACTCGGCTGTAGATCCTCCAATCATCTCTGAATTGGTGCTGACACTGTCCTCCCTTCTGGAGGGGGGCTACTTTTGTTCCCCATGATCCCTGTGTGTAAAGTAGTCACCACTCCAAGCTCACTCCCGGGATAAACTACAATCTCAATACAAATAAGTAAACTAAAGATGAGATTGTAGTCCATCATGGGAGTGAGCTTGGAGCGGTGACTACTTTACACACAGGGATCATGGGGAACAAAAGTAGCCCCCCTCCAGAAGGGAGGACAGTGTCAGCACCAATTCAGAGATGATTGGAGGATCTACAGCCGAGTGATACACAAATTAGATACATTTATGTTAATAGTTAAGATACTTGAATGTATTTTTTAAGATTTAACCCCTGAGTTTAGTGTCGCTTTAATACTGCTCTATGGACACAAATTGTATCACAGCCATTACCACTACCTCAAAGCCATATAAGTTTATTGGTGCAATGTCTATACTATCCAATATTCATATTATCCAAAATGGACAGTGTTGATAATGCATTTAAAGGAGAAATGTATGAATATATTGTACTGAAACAGTATTTTGGAGCCTATATACCGAAGTAATCAGTGTGTGAATGGTGCACACAGGCTGGCATTGGGGAAGCAGTGTTCAGTGTCTCCTTGCATGCTGCTACATTAACACACAGGGCACACAAAGAATGAGATCACTCTGCGTGCACAAAGCAGTCTGTATGGACACCAAAGGCCACATCTGCATTGACTTCCGTTCAGTCCGTGCTGAATGCCAAATTCTGCCACATCAAGAACAGATTCATCAATCAATTTACTTAAAAGTGAAACTCCAGCTTTGTAAAATAAAAAGAACATCCCCCCCTCTTTGCTTCCTTCCAGGTCTATACGATTTGCAAGGATTATACCAGATGTAATTGTGGATTCCTACCTACATCCGTGTAGATATTGAACAAGGGCCAAAGCAGTGCGCCTACTAAAATGGATGCTGAATGGCAAGATGATTGATAATATATATATACTGTATATCTGTATATATATAATTGTAAAAATGGCACTCGCCTTGATTTTGGCATTCTCGGCAAATACGTCACCTGAGTTTAAGACCCGAAAATAAGACCTAGTTGCGCCCTTATCCAGGGCCGGTGGTGGCATAAGGGGGAACTTGAAGCACCGCGGGAGAGAATCAGTGGTGCCAACGAAGCCATCGCTAGAGGAAGCGAGGCGGCAGCGGATGGAGCAGAGCCACCTAAGCCGATGTTTCCTCTATAGCGCCGGCTCCTGTCACAGGCGGAGTCATACCAAATGCACTCAGTCTGTGAGGAATCCATAGTGAAAGCGCGATTAGCTCATTCTGGCCAGCAATTGGTTACCAAAATGCTCTTGGAAAGCTACAGCACCCCTGATTGCTCTGATCACCCTATTCTTAACTTTGTCATTTTGGATTATTTAATTTGGATTTGCACTAACTTTGGATTGTTGTACATTTAAAAAAAAAAAAATAAAACCTACCCCGAAAATGAGACCTAGTGTGTTTTTTTTTGAGCCCAAAAAAATATAAGACATTGTCTTATTTTCGGGGAAACACGGTAGTAGATTGTTGTAGCGTGTTTGTCATCGATTACACGATGCCCTTTATTGGCTACTTCAGTTATGAAACATGTAAGCGTGCATCTTCAAAGCAGACATTACACTTCTTCTTCAGCTTTCTAAATCTTAGTCTTTATCTCCTCAGCCATCATTTAAAAAAAATACATTTTTATTTCTATCCGCGCACTTTCCTTTTTCTTGCCTCCTGGGATATTCACGTTACGCATCCCAGTAGGTTTCAGGAGAGTCTCCAGCACTCTAGAGCTCATGGGTATGTCATCAGGGGGGCTGACTGTGTATATCAGGAAGTGACAGCCGCCCAGGGCAACCAATCAGCTTCTATCTTCAGCTTGTTCAGTAGAGATTTGAAAATGAGAGAGAGAGAGAAGCTGATTGGTTGCTGTGCACAGCTGCTCCAGTTTGGATAAATTCCCCTCAATGTGTTTTTATTATATTCTACAAGGACACTACGGTTGTGCGGCTGATTTGAGTTTTGAGCAGGCAGGTGAACTTCCACTTTAATAACTTAATTTAGCCAATGAAGGATATCACTGAAACTCCAAACTTTCTACATAGGACTCTTTTATTATACTATTATACTAGTTTAATCTTTCTATTACTTTAGGATCTGTTTATAAATCTTCTGCCCAGCCATATGCTGGGTGAATGCCGCTTGCACTGCATTCCAACCACTAGATGCAGGCTCCCCATGACCTCGGCTCCATCTAGTTCACCCAGCATATGGCTGGAAGATTTATAAGTAGACCCCTTTGTGTAACCTTTGCATGATCACTAATCCCTTTATGACCAGACTCCAGGCCCCAAGTCAAATTTATCAGCACCAGTTAACTAATAGATAAAAGCTCTGTAACCCATTTGCCTACCAAGTTCATATTCTTTTTTTTTTTATTATGAGCACAGAACAATGTATGTTAATCTGCCAGAAACCTGCTGTGCTTCTAAATTCTTGTTTGAGCTGACAACATGCTGCCTCCGAAAGCCTAAGCCGTGTTGTCACCCCTGCCTGAGATCTCCCTTCTTGGAGTGGAAGGTGTTCTGTTGTCCAGAAGGGAGAGCTCAGTTGGATAACCCTGTTTAGGGTTTTTGGACTTGCTGCATATTTCTTTTACATTTTCTCAGACACACTGTTCTTATATGTATGTTTTTAAAAAATCATTTTAACAGCCAGCTGCCAATGTGCTTCACTCGGCACATTATTTTGTCAACACACCCATGTGATCATTATGACTGGCTTTTATAGTGATCACATAATTGGGAATCATGCTGACTGGTCCTCATTTGCTGGTCCATCTGGGCAGTTGTCAGTCACTGAAGTAGTAGCAAGCATGGGCACTCACGGTTTCCCCATAGGAGGTTTATTAGCATATCCCCAGCACTGGGCGCTATGCTGGAGAATGTTAATGTACAGACTATGGGCCCAGAGCAGTTACGGATGAATTCACAGTGTATGCATTACCATGTGCATTTGCATGCGCATTGGTGGTAGCGCAGTAATGTGTTGTACATGTATTTTTGGGGTGCATCATATTCATCCTCAATGGGACCCTAATGCACGTCAACACATTATACAACACACCTGACCCTTTAACAATATCAAAGTAGACAGATGTGAATACACTTGTGCTATGTTAAGCTACCATGCCTAAAATTGTCAGATATGTTTTTTGGGCCCGTGGGTGATCATTGAGGGCCCATAGAAAATGAATGGGCCCTTCAAAGGGCCACGTCAAGGTACGGCCTCTAATTCAAATGCAATTTGCCGCCCTTTCTTTCAAGTCTCTTTTGTCTGGTTGTGGCAGCCATATGTGACAGCAACAGGGAGACTCTGTGCTCTCTCTCTATCTAACTGTATCACTCGGTGATACAGTTATTACAATGTCTACTTTTCATTACTGAGTCCTTTATCTGATAAACGCGAGCTCAGTGGTGAAATGCTCGGCATCCGACATCAGCAGATTTAGGAGTAAAGGAGTTAATTTGTTGGCTCGTTTGTACCAGTCTATTCTCAGACTTCATTTCCCTTTAGTCTGCGACAGTTTAATTTAGCAGGGAATTTATGCCTTCGTTAAAGGCTCCTCTTTCTGATGACTTTTAATGGCTGACTTTAATGTTCTGGCATAATGCTCTTCATGTGGCTGTGTTGTAAGAACTCTGTAGTCAGGATGCCGAGTAAATAAAAGACGGATCCTCACCACCCGGCCGCAGCAACCGCTTTTACTTCAGGTGGTCGGCCCGAGAGTGGGCTAGCGGGGCTCATAGGCTGATTCTTAGGGGTCTTATTCCAGCTTACCGACCATTATAATGTGTTCTCCATGGAAGTAGGATGCTAAAAGCACCGAAGCTTTGACACAGAGGTCTTCTGACAAATAGTAATGAGAGAAAATAATGATGTTTTCTATTTTGTTATCCCGCAATGGGAAATTCCAATTCATATCAAACTGATTACCCCAAAATTGTCATTTGCATACACTTTCATTCATCCTCTGCATCCCGCACTGGATACCATTATCACTGAGGCATTGAACGTGCCTGGATTTAACTTTTTTTGTATAAATCTGCCACTTTGTAGCATATTAGCTAAACAAAATTGCAATTACATATATTATAAATTGCACACGGGAGCCTATTTGTATTTTATTCTGCTGCCTTAGAACCCAATCTCGTCTACTCTAACCCATGTGACCTGAACACTTCCTCCCTGACAGCATGAGTGATTATAAAGCAGCAAAACTCATTATCAGTGATATATTTCTGGTCTAGGAGAGTTTAGTGTGACACACACAGGGTTATTCACAAAAGGGTGAAGAGTTTGGAGAAGGCAGGAGAAGGGAAAAATCTAGGACAACATCGCTGAACTGGAAAGTGAGCTGAACTGGAGAATTTTTCGAAATCAGCGATGTTGTCCTAGATTGTTCCCTTCTCCTGCCTTCTCCAAACTCTTCACCCTTTTGTGAATAACCCTGATGATGTTAAAGGATAGTCAGCATGTCTCCTCATTCTCAGGAAACTGGGGGAGCATAACCCTTGACACACTGGGCCCATAATTCTCAACTGGGGAGAATGATAACATGATAACCTGAAACTTTCAGGTATGTCTGAAATCGAATTATTGAACTATCTGGTTGGAATTCCATTTTAAATAACCCAGTGACCGCCCTCACATGACAGGAAGCAATATACAGTGCGTGCCGTGTAGGTTGTTACAGTCAAGACGAGAAAGTTCCTCACTTTTCTTACCATCAGGTGCTGGAAGAGCCATGAACGCATGATGTTGGTTGCATGTTTCGGGAGAACTCCGCGCTTGTTTTTAGATTTTTTATCTTCCCCATCAAGCAGAGAGGTCAGTTCCAGATTGACCTACGGAGACAGGCGCCAACAATGATATTTATATATATATCTTTTTTCTGTAGCTTTATAACAAACAAAGTATTTGCATACCTATACATTAACAGCACCCTATTGGTTCACATCGCTCTTTTAACTTATGCAGCAGTACTGTACAGAATGCATTAAACCACCTAGACTAGTCTCTGACCCCAGAAGCTTACAATCTAACTCCCCTATTGCAGTCATAAGCATGCATGAGCCAGCTATCAGAATGTTCTTGTTGGAAAACCGAGCACCAGCTGTATACAAATTATACTACTGGCCTCAAATATATACCAATGGTTGGGGGTCCACGGGTGACATAAAGAATAGTTTGCATGTCTCCATCCATTATATCACATTGAGAAAAGAACCCTTCAATTGTTGGGTTTTGGGATGACAGTAATTCTGTACTTTTTTGTAGCTGTCTCATTTTTGGCCCACCACACCAATCCTACAATAGCTGCCCGGCCAGTCATGTTTATCCAAAAAAACAGCAAATATAAGAATAGAAATGCCAAACAGCTGCAAAAAAGGTTTGTAGTGCAAAAAGAAGCAAGTATAAAAATAGAAGCACCAAACCACTTAATGGTCCAGATACAATATACTTGCCAGTAAATGTCAGAAAAAAAGAAGCCAATGTATTTCAGGGTCCCATGGACACCCCCTTCAACAGGGCTTGCAATGAAAAACTGTATGGACTGTTTAAACTGGCTGCTGATGACACTTGTGCTTATCAGCAGAACAGAACAAATACTATCAAATCTACAATCATTACCCAGGCCATACAGTTTTCTATTGCAAACAGTGATGAAGGGGGTGTCTGAGGGCCCCTAAAATGTGTTGGCTTCTTCTTTCTGACATTTACTGGAAATCAATTGTATCTGGACCATTAAGCAGGGGTTTGACACTTCTATTCCTATACCTGCTTCTTTTTGCACTACAAACCCAGAAAACTGTGGAGATCTACGGGAATGTAGAAAGAACTTAGGAACCAGATTACCCTTATCAGTGGATAGCGGAACCAGATTACCCTTATCAGTGGATAGCAGAACCAGATTACCCTTATCAGTGGATAGCGGAACCAGATTACCCTTATCAGTGGATAGCGGAAACAGATTACTCTTATCAATGGATAGCGGAACCAGATTACCCTTATCAGTGGATAGCGGAACCAGATTACCCTTATCAATGGACAGCTGCACCAATAGGATAACCTTATGGGTCCAGTGCTACGTTTCCAATTCCTCATGTATATCAGGAAGGCAGTACATCAAACCTAATGCAATAGTGAAAGAACCAGAACCTCATGTATTGGGGGTTAATGGGACACACTATGCTGCTCTATGTCTGGGCCCACAGTCGATAATATCACAAT